GAAAGGCCAGCCTCAGCAGATAGTGGAATATGATGGACGTCATTATCCAAAGTACATGTATGAAGACATGAATTGGTGTGAACATACTTTATATACAAACAGAGATATGAAAAATTGTGTTTTATATATGTAATAAGAATTATGATGCATTCTGCTGTTATATATTTAAAAATAAAAGCAATTAACCCCCCAAAAAAGAAAGTAGTGTACATAAGAATCTTTATATCTCTGCAACTAATATCTATCTCTTGAAATCATACCATTTTTCATATTGTGCTAGGTCCATATGAAAGCAAGACTGTTAAGAGACTCAATAGTTTTACCTCAAATCTGTCAATAACTGCAGTGAAACATGATAAAAAAATTTTTTTTACACACACACATAAAAAAAAAAAAAAGATGGGCTAGTCATAGAAGAAGTACCATGATCTGTGCTAGGAATTGTGACCATGCACAATTATCTGATGCTCTCAACCTGACCCCTACTTCCACATTCTTCTCCATCTTATAAAAGCATCCTAAGTTTCCAAGTCCTCTAGATCAGTATGAACTAAATGGTAATTCTATAACTGAAACATACAGTTAAGACTATATGGCCTGGGTTCCCTAAACAGCTTGAACAGTGACTCCATCAACTCACTACAAATTCTAGGACACTGACTTTTACCTGAAAGCTGTGTGAGATCTCCTTATAACTACAATAGTTCCTGCCCAATAGAACTCTACTAAAGAAACTCAGAAAATCTCTACTAAAATCTCTACAGAAGAAAATCAGAGGAGGCAGAACAAAAACTACCCATATCAGAGGTCTCTATAACATTCGTAACATTTATAAGACCTTTAATTTAGAAACTTTTGTTGGGATCAGTAGAAGCTCGTGGCTACAGAAAATGCGAAGCCTATCGCAGACTTTCCAGGAGTCTTAAAGTCTGTCACCAGATATCAGGAACTCTCCTGTCTCTTTTTTTCTGATCATTTTCTCATTTTCCTTCCTGTCATCAACCTCAAAAGAGTTATAGTGTCCATGATCAGGACAAGAATCTTTATCATCCTTGGGTAGGCTTACTATATTGAGAGTACTGAACAATCCACTATCATGAAGACACACATTGAAGCAAAATCAATAATGCAAAATTACTCAGAGTATCATTGGTGAACCAAAATGAAAATTCTTTTTTTCTGATATCTGGGGGTTGAACCCAGAGCACTTTACTACAGAGCTTCATCCCCAGACCTTTTTTACTTTTATTTTTTTTATTTTGAGACAGGGTCTCACTAAGTTGCTGAAGGTCTTGCCTCCCAACCCCAAGTTGCTGAGGCTGGCCTCAAACTTTCAATCCTTCTGTCTCAGCTTCCTAAGTTGCTGGAATCACAGGCATGAACCACCATGCCCAGCTACCAAAATGAAAATTCTCAACACATCTAGAAACCAGTAGTTAGTGATAGACCCCCTACATATGCCCTGTATATTACTGTAGATCATTTTCTGTCTTTGGATCCTGAACATGTGAGAGACTGCTGTTCAGGTCAGTTGCCAGCACCAAAGTGCAAAAGATCTGGATGCCTTTAGAGGAAAAGAATTTATAGTACAGGAGGACCCTCCGGATCTCAACACAGACAGCATTTGGCTCACAATGGAGCTGAGGAGCCTGAAAGCAAGGACAGATTAGTGGACCCCTTGGAACAGACTCTATGTTCAGGTGTTTGGAAATATCAGAACTGCATAAGGAATCTGAGCATTCTGAGTTCAATCAAATTTATATTCTGAGAAGTCACTCTGAAATATGGGCTGAATTCTTATTATGTCCTCCTTATCCTGTAAAGTTGAGAACACTAATAGAAACTTAAAAGTTTTATGCCTTATGTTTGTCTCATAGGAATGATGTAGATCCAGACAATAATCTTTAAAAGTTGTCAGCTCCTTGTGTTCATCTCATTGCATAGAAATAGAATCTCCATCAAAGGTTGTTTCTGGGATGAGATGATTGTTGTAAGGGGATTGCATATCAAGATATGGAACCAATGTTGTCTGGATGTTTGAATAAGCATACATTCACTTAATAAGAATATTAGTTTTTTAAAAAAATTCAGATTCAGAAAGACAGATCCCAAAGTCTAAGAGGATCATATTCAGCTCACAGCTACAGTTCTCAAATTGCACTGATGAGGCAGATTCTGAAAAACACAGCACTCTCAGTTCCGGATTGCCCCCTCTCCTTTAAAACCCTTAAAGCAGTAACTTCAGATTCGTCAGGATTTGTTTTTGTTTATTCCTTCTTCCCAATTCTCTTTCCCCAATCTGTCCCTTAATAAACAATTAAGAAACAGAATCAAGCTTCATTCAACACTGTCTTTTTTTATTGCTTGGGCCATCATAACAAAATATCACAGACTAGGTGACTTAAACAGACATTTCTTTCTCACAGTTTTGAAGGCTGGAAATTCCAAGACAAGACAACATTCACTGTGATGGCCCTATTCCTGGCTTGTAGAAGGCTGCTTCTTCCTCACATAGTGGATAAAGACAGAATAAATTCTGGTTTTATAAAGACACTAATCCCATTTTAAGAACTCCACTCTCATGACCTCATCTAAGCCTAATCCCTCCCAAAGGCTCTGTCTCCAAATAACATAACATTGAGTGTTAGAACTTTTGCATGCAAATTTGGGTGTTCACAGTTCAGTTCATAGCATATATGATGTTCCTAGGATACAGTAATGTTACAAAACAAACTGAAGTGTTGATCTATATATTATCATCAGGTCAGGACATCCAGACTTTGAAGAGAAGCTGGTAGCAAGATCAGATACTGAATTTTTCTCACATAGGGTCCCAATATAGTATTGTTCTTATTCCTAAAGACAGAATAATCAAGTACCTATTTGATAAAGAAACATCCAGAAGAAAGTCTGGAAGGATAATGATCATAAAAGTGTTGACTGCTGGGCTGGGGATATAGCTCAGTTGGTAGAGTATGCACCTTGCATGCACAAGGCCCTGGGTTCAATCCCCAGCACCACAAAAAAAAAAAAAAAAGTGTTGACTGCTGTTTCCCCCCTACTATTATCATTTTTTTCTTTTACCTTCAGTGAATTTTGTACCTTCAGTGTCCTAGATTGAGAAGCAGAGTTCTAATCTTGTGACATTGATACAAGGAAAAATGTACTTGTATTGTGAGTACAACTAGCAAGGCTGTCAGGAGCAGATCTTTGTCTTTAGCCTACTTTATATTGCTAATTTTAATGTTTTCTTTTAATATGGGTGATCATTTGACAACATAATTTACTTTTGCAACCTTTTTGCAAGATTTCACGAGAGACAGCACTTCTCTTTCTCTAAGGATGCCATGATATTTCTGAGCACCTCCATGAAGTTATTCCTTACTTCTTCTAAGCAGAACAAAAATGAGAATTAGCCTAACTAGTCATATCCACAGCAGATGAAGCATGGTTATCACTTTTTAGCAAGTGCTGTTTCTGTTGAAATGGCCAGGAATAGGCAGCAAATTTGGTAACTGGAC